TGGAACTATCACGGTTATTTTTTTCCCCACAGTGGCTTCAGTGCATGTCAGACAGTCTAGGTCAGTTTGAGCGTCTTATCTATTCACAGTAACAGTGCCTTCAGCATTGTCTATGAATCTTTGTGGTGGAATGGTGTTAACATGGACGAATTATACAGTCCTGGAATCGTCAATGAACTACAATATGTAAACAATTCATAAACTTTTCACCATTATCTCAAGCATAAAGTACAAACTGTTGCGATGGAAGTATTAGCTTTATGCTTCATTTTTCTCCAGGTAATGCCTTTAGTGTCTGGATACAAACCTGTTTTTTTGTTAATGCGGAGACAATACTTCCACTCGTCCAGCTTGTAAATTTTCTGCACACTTATTCTGCTGGGGTGTTCTGTTATATGAACATGCAGCACTTATATCTTATAGTGACAACGGGTAGGGATTCAGGTTACCTTCCATGAAGATGAATGTAATTTGTATACAAACTTATTCATACCTGTAAAGATGGTGTGTGCCTGTATATTCAGGAACAAATATTAACATTATTATTGGGCGAAACTGTCGTTTGCTGTTCTGGCGGTATTCTGGGTCTTGGTTCGCAACAGCCAATGTTCTCGCCAATCCCGCGCTTAAATGTATAATACTTTTTCAGTACTCCGATTAGAAGTTCTAGGCATCCAAACTTAGCAGCCATCAACCCCTACGATACCGACGTTGTAGATGTGAGGATATGGGAATCTGCGGGGCACTTCTGCGGCTGTCCAATGTAATTCTTTCCTTGCTGACAGCCACTTCGATCGTTGGAAATCATGAGCATACCTCTCTGCCAATATGCTGGATGTTTTTTCGGCATGCCACCGACAACCATGATTCTTGGTCCCAGAATATGCGGCTCTTCCTGATTCCCACTTCTCACTTGCCGCAGCCGGTCTGGCCCAGCCCTAATGCCAGATGGCCGGTTGATGACCAGTGTGTTTGACGGCAACAGGAATCTTTCATCCTCCTTAGCTGAGCTCAGGGTCACCCTCATCGGAGGGAGCTTTCCTTGCGGTAAATAGTTGCATCTGTGCAACTGGCGTAGCATTGCTTCTAGGTCGACTGGTTTTAGTGCGGAGGAAACCTCTTCTGATCACCGTTCGTCGAATAATTTTCAAATGCCAAGGAGACTGCCATAGTATACGGGAAAGTTAAATAAGATAATGGAGTTCTATCTGCAGTCGGAACCCCTGTTGTCGTGTATTGTGGATTGATTTTTATGGGCAGGGTGCGCCCAGCGGTGGCCACTAGAGCAACTTCAGTGTTTGGGCTAGTGTGGTTGACCTCGCGGATGGTGGTCGCCTGGCCGTTTTTGGACTGCCCACGAGTGTGACTGCCCTTGGAACGATACTGATACTCTAGGTTTTCCAACACTAGCATATGGCAGTGGTTTGTGTTGGCGCCGGCATCCCAGTGGCCACTGTGGTTCTTATTTTCTCCATAGGCTAGCTGGTAGAGGGGAGTGGTTGTACACGACATTGTCAGCAGGTACACCGCAACCACATGCATGGGTGGCCAAACGCGAAGGCGTAACAATGGTCTGGTACATACTAATCATACTGATAGCCTACCTGTATCATGGAAGTGTCACATTCAAAGGTCCCCGCCCATTTTACAATGAAGCCAAATGCGTGACCGTCGTGAGCTTGGCCAGGGGTTGTGGTCAGAAACTTTCCTTTCCTTCTCTGCCACTTCCCTGGGGTAGCTTTCGCAAGCAAGCTAGGGTTTGTCTACGTGGGCCAGAAAGACATGCCCTTCTCCGGGCGAGAGCAGGTAGGTTCTGAGGGACCGGAATCCAATTTTTTCAGCAATCGGTAATCATTACTATTCTTCTGAGGTCGACCCAGGACACTGTGCGGCAGATTTAAACCCCTTGCCTCCATCCTCATTTACCACCAAGGTAGAGGACCTTGGTGGCTGAGATGGAGCTTCACCCGAGGTGTTCTTGAAACCGGATTTAGCCAAAACACTGCCGTTACTTATTTCGATAGGCAGTTGAAAGGAAGAAGCAAGACAAAAATCCTTAGGTCACGTCAAATTAGGAAAAAACCATGGTAGTTGAAGTGAGTAGTCAACTTCACTCACGCTTGTCCAGTTTTATGATTCAGAAGAGTACTAAAAGCTTCCTATATGTCCAAGATACATGATTGCGTGAGACGAGTGGTGCTTCAGATGGGGCGACCTGGGCAATAGCAGTTGATCGAGACAGGTAAATCTACCATGCAGATGTTCGTTTGGAGAGTGATGTTACTGGGCAATTTAAGACCCTATGTTTTTCGAAATACCCTTGCTTTCGGTGAGGAGAGATCCGACTGGAAAGGCTCATGTATAGTTACTTTCGAGGACAGTGAAGACGTGACGAGATATGTCAGTATTCAAGAAGTCCATGACAATGACATCAACCATATTTGATTTCTTTTGTACGCCATGTTACTCATATAGCTACCTACTAAAGCAACCAAGGGAAGCGGGCAACAAACCACGTGCATATATTCATGCACAAGCTTTTCATCATTGATAGAAAGCAAAATGTGACAAGCATAAGAAAGGAATTATAAGCTTCTAGCCTTATTCATCTCTTTAGGGAATCCTTGTGATACTTGAGTGCAAACTCTAGTTTTATTTGTTGATGCGAAGAAATTACTTACAACTGTTCGTAGCGTCGATTTGTGCATACTTATTCTGTCGACATCCTACATTTTATCGATATGCAATACAAACACTCAAGTCATCAAAATTACTTGCCTTTAAGCAGCATGCAATTTACATATGGATCTATTCTTACCTGTAAAAATGACGTGTGCCTGTATATTAAGGAATAAATATGTATACTGCAGTCATCGGTGGTAGTCGAGACACATCGCAGATTTTATTTAATTTGCGTGGTGCCATTAAACGTTTAGTAATCGCAGTTCTATAAAAGTTCTAGGCTTATCTGATAAATTCTTTTTGCTCCTCAAAGGGGATGAAGATACTAGCCTCCACTAAACAGGCTTTTAAGCAGGGGGTCATAATTATCGGTTTTTTGGCTGAGATTTCGGCAGCAGCCGGTCCATTGTAAGCGTATTTCTCACCTCATCACCCCCGCAGAGCTTCTGTCTCCCCTACAACACATGATAAAGCCATTCCTCGATACCGAAACCGGGCCAGGAAAACAGATTATATGAAAACCAGAGGAAGTTGGGCCTCTCACTAGGAGTAAACTGATTTGGCCTCTAGCAGGAAAGGCTGGAATAGGTCCGGTGAAGTAGCAGAAGTGGTTCTCTGAGAGGGCCCGAATCGCAACAGTGAAAATGTTAAACCTAACAGTAACTTGTCCATATGTCAACAACCCCCTGCACTGTGCCTCTTTCTACATGACTGCATGTTGCAATTATGAGGAGAGCTTAAGAAGGGCTCACATTATTAGTTGTCACTAGTACACCACCTTCTGCTGTCAGCTCACAATTAGGAACCTTCAAGTGCCCCTTAAGTAGCTTTAAGGAACTTGGATGTAAGGTGACTGAGCCACGGTCCATATCTTGGTCAGATATTAATGACATCGAAGAGATCATTCGCAGTATGTATCTGTCCAGGAAAAACAGAGAAATGCAAATAGATGGGCAGAGTGGCAGCATTTCTGAGTGACCAGTCCAAAAGTTAAGGAACTACTGTTATGATAGGGCTTCCGGAATCTGTCTGAGGCCACTTCATGGTCTAACACAGTGGGCATCCGTTGGAGGGATTCTCTTGACCCCCTACTAGCTACCTAGAACATAACTGATATTTGAGTCGAGCGATATCTGAAGGACGACTGAGAAGTAAGACAGGTTAACTTAGTGGTGGATTTTGTCTCCCAAACTCTCAACCTTTAGAAGGAGGGTGAAGCCTTGAGCTAGACGTTCGGTCGGAACCCACCAAAAGACGTCAAAAAGACTGGGGTGTATAAAAAGGGTGGCGATGATGCTCGTTGATGTTTGGGAGTAAATTCGTAAAGGCCTAGCTATTATCCGAGCGACAACCATTCACTAGTAAAGGGCACTGAGGTTCGAACTCCCTCCAGCAGTGGCCATCACCGCATTGCGGTGTATCTTCGACCAACCAATGCACAACTATAATGAGAGGGATCTTGCGCTTATTTCTCTACAGTGGCGCAGGGCACATGGAAATGAATTAATGTCCATTGACAGCCTCATGGCCCAAAAAGTCTAGTTCCTTATCGATGGACTGACACTGTGAACTAGTGAGGCATCTTCAAGCGGGTGACCATTGAAAATGCCGCCGTAGTGGCGAAATTCATAGCTGAGATGAGGGGCTGAGCGCTTCTTGAAAGTTAGGCAGAATAGACGCAACATCAAGGTGGGAGGCGAAACACCAGAGCGTTCTGCATGGACCTTAGCTGTCAGCTAAGAGCGAGCGCCGTAAACATACCGACTTGTGGCGGAGAGAAAATCTACTAGCCGGGAAGCTTGTGCTACGAGGGGAGCAAATAAAGATAAGCGTTCAGAACTGGAGATTGCCGGAACTTTTATCGCCACCCAAGGCATCCAACTGGAAGTTCTATCAGCCAATCAAAACACCAGCTGCCTGAACAAACTGTAATATTGCCCAATGTAGGAGAAGTGGGCAGAACACTCGCAACTCTTGTCACGGTCCTCAAAAGAAGTCAAAGCTCCTCACAGGAAAGTACCTAGGATGCTAAGTCATGTAGGCTACTTCATCTGAATCCAACAAACGTGGCTTGATACATACTTGAGGTGACCTTGGCATCTGCTCAGAACTAACTGAACTTTCACTGAATTAACCGACATCATTTGCTCTCTCTTTACTTGAACGCAGGTTAAAAATCACAGAAAATAGTGATTTTGGATTCTAGACTTGGAAACTAGTTAAGCAAAAGCTTCTTCCATTCCGTGAAAAGCTGTTTGGACCATTGGAAAAACTCATTAAGTTTATCTGAATCGAAAATAGAGTAGCAGATTTAAGTTGTCAGCGTTTAAAGGTCACATTGTTCTATGTTGGTTGTTGGCACCGATCGAACGGTGTCCTTAGATTTTGAACGGGACCAGAAGTTGGCATTAACTGGTGTGCATATATCCTCTAGTTGTCCGCATGTTACCCTCTGACGTGGAATCAGATATGAATATTCGTAGTACTTCTCCAACCGGAGTATTCACCGTAGATAATTTAGTTTCGGAGAAATTCACAACTACATCCACACATTTGCGCAAGTTCGTAGTTCTTAATAAATGCGAATACTTGTAGAAGATTGGATGGGAAGTGGACCATTGGTGACATTGACATTGGAAGAAAGCTTGGTGAAGGTCGTTTTGGTTCAGTTTATCTCGCTAGAGAAAAGGCTAGTCGATTCGTTATTGCCTTGAAGGTTGTCTTCCTCTTCAAGTTAATTTCTTAGATTCTGTCGAAATGTAGACTAACAACTCAGGAATTAATGAAGCAAGTGCAGCGTGAGATAGAAATACAGTCTCACTTAAAGTAAGCTTTCCCGATCTAACTTCTTACTCACAGACATCCAAACATTGTTCGAATGTACAGTTATTTTTATGATAAGAAGCGAATTTACATGGTCTTGGAATACCTTCCAAGAGGTGAACTTTCTAAAGACATCACTCGTTTTGGCCATTTTGGAGATGCTCGCGCAGCAACTGTAAGTTCCGTTCAGTGTGACCATATGGATGCAATATGTAGTAGGCCATTCCCGACTGCACATTCTGTTGGAAGTCTTGGCAGGACTATAGAAGTTTACCAACATTTGAGTCCCTTCTTTGAATCATTAGCCTAAGTATCGAACCTTTTGGTAATTTGTAATGAGTTCAAATCCCTCACCATCCACTTTGACCTGGGCGATCGTGTAGTATTATAAGCCCGTACACAACAGTTGCGGCTCATAGCATAATGTAAAAAACGTGTACTGGGTTAAGTTACATTATGTCATTATCGTATGCTAAGGCGGAGTCAATCTGGCAAAAACAGAGCCTAAGATTCTAGGTTTTATAATAATTAAACGGCAGAGATAAGTTTGGGAACAGCAAACGCAAAAATACCGGGCGAGTTCTAAACCTTGCCGTCGGTGTATTGATCAGATCTTCAGCCTTCCTCAGGTCCTACACTTAGGCACACTAGCTCCTGATACTAACTTCATTCTTTAGCGTAAAGGTAGCATTCGACTCTGTCGACCGAGAGGTCTAGTAGTAGTGTCCTCACTGAAAGAAGCGGCAGGTGAGTACCTCACTGTACTAAAGACTGGTGCTGAAATACCTATGGGTATATTATAGCCTATAATGCGGTATCAGATACGTTGTTTAGGTCGAGTGGTATCTGTCAAGGGTGTACACCATTTAGTTTTTATCATTGACACGCTTATAAAGGTGCACTTCTCGTCTGACTTTATGGGGGCAGACTTAACCACAGGAGGCTTTTTCGTAGACCTAGAATACTCACATAAACTGTTACTCACTGACTTGAGGAGCTATGGCTCACTAGTTTAAATAGTTGACTTCCAACCAGCGGATCACGGGTTCGTATTCTGCTCTGCCTACTGAGATTTGGGCGGTGAAGTAGTACTATTAGCTGTCACAATCGGTGTGGCTCACTGTCTACCGCACAAACTTCCATGTAGTGGCTGGTTGCATTCCGATTTATTTTCATATGATATAGTGGTGTTAGTTGAAGACTTTGATAAGTTGTGAACTCCTTTAGACACCGAGTGACAATATGAGAATGTTTTTGGTTGTTTCTCATCAATGCTTTAAGATTGGTCTGTATCCATACCTCGTCTGACAACAGGAAGTGAAGTGGTTAAGCGCATTGATCGCTTCAACTACTTAGGAAGCCTGGCCAACCCTGATGAGTGATTGTCGAAATTTCTGTTTGGATAAAAAGAGGCTCACTTTGCCTTAGCCAGCCTATGTCATCTATAGCGTTGGCATGATGTCTGATTCTCTATTAAGGATCAAATGTACTGCACGGAATTTCTTTTTATTTTGCCTTTCGACTGTAAAACATCGCCTTTGAAAGTGACAGATGTAGGAAGGCTTCAGATATTCAAGTATCTTCGTTGCAAAAACTTTGTCACAGAATCACTGCATTTGTAACTCAGGTTGGGCTTAAAGTTGTAGAATGAAGAGGCAGATTCAATGATATAACAAGCCTTCATCGACTTTTATGGCTGGGACTTTTTATGCATGCCTAATCACAGCTTTTCTTTTTTCACGATGTTCAGTGAAGTAGGTGTAGACTGGAAAAAGAAGACGGTCAGACTGAAACATGGTATCACTGTAATAAGTCTCTGACTTTTGGTTTATAGGGATATTTAAACCTATTGGTTGGAGTCCGCATGGTAGCCGAAGTCGCTGATATAGCTCAGAATCAGTTTCATATGTGCAGATACATCCATCCCCTCATGTTTTTCTACGGCCTTTGACTGCATTTCTGTTTCAGGCTTTTATCTTGCTACGTTTTATCTTTATATGCTAATATAAGGTGGGGAAAGTTGGACCGTTGCACAAGTCTCGTGTTGACTTTAATAAGCTGGGTGATTGGTTCAGTGCAGATATAGGTTTTCGTTTGAGTTCACTTTCTTTGCCTACCAACTCATTGGAAGCTTACCACTTACTTGTGAAAAAAGGCGGGTTGATGGGGATTGTTTTAACCTTGTTAGGTTACAGTGGAGTCCAAAGGACATTGACTTGACGCCGATGACACGGCTATTTGAGGAGGCTTAAATTACGAGACTATTCACTAGCATCCTAATGTTTGTGTAATCATTAAGGCATTGCCAAAATCCTTACTGAATGGAGACACTTGTTATACTATTTGAAAATGCATTGCTTAATGATCATAAATATATTGATGGAATTATTATGTTCAAAGAAACCGATGTTATTATTTTTTTAGTATGTGTATCAGCTTTCAAAAGCTTTGTCTTACTGTCATCAGAATGATATCATACACCGGGATGTAAAACCAGAAAACATACTTCTCGGAGCTCGTGGTGAAGTGAAGATTGCAGATTTTGGTAGTGCAGTGCACTTACCAGCTTCCCGGTAAGTTGTATTGCTTTGCTTTACGAGTATTTAGACGTATGACAACTTTTGGTACACTCAATTACCTGGCTCCTGAAATGTTTCATTTGGACCGTGTTCATGATCATACCGTAGATATATGGAGTTTGGGAATACTCACTTTCGAAATGCTTACGGGTTATTTGCCCTTTGATGGAGATACCTTTCAGGATATCTCTGGGAAAATTCAAACTGCTGATATTGTGTTTCCAGATACACTTAACGTAGATGCAAAGGAGCTTATCACTGGTGTAAGTTCACATAATCTGAACCTTTACAGTTAACTTACGATTTACATTTCCAATTTATTAATCATGGTTCGAGTTGTGTGTTATATAAGTTAAACAGTGGTCAACAGTACTCCATAAATAACCAAACTGGATGAGGTAGACGCTGGATTCAAACGTATAAACTATATTGATTTGAGACAAAGTCATATTGCGTGCGCATATGATGAAACTGACTAGTAAGAATCGTAAATTCAAACAAATGCTAGAGGAAGACAGAAAACAGAAGTCTGGACTGAATATACTTCACTTATGATTTAACTCACCATTTATCAATAGCTGATACTTAGAAGTTTAGGATTTGTCCTGGTGCGAACTTGACAGACGCAAAGACCAATCACTAATTATTCGAACTTGTTAATATACCCACGAATACAAGACCAAGGAAGAACACGATAGCGTAGTCGGATGGAATAGTATATTTGGGTGGTTGTGCCAAGATACCGATGCGTTCCAACTAACTAGCTAGAGAGTCGAATACGAGCAGTGCAACGTAACATGACAGCGTGCCAAATGGCGAGGATGCTTGACCGGGTGCCTTCAGCTTAGCGAGTCCAGTTAAACTATCAAGGTCAGCATCAATGTTGAATGTCGTCAAACCCTAGGCTATTGATTTTGGAGAAATGTGTGATGCTACAGAGGTAAATCGTAGTTCACCATTTAATGAAAGTGGTAAATCTTTCTCTTATAAGTAAATTAACGTAATGTTTATAAACTGCAAGATAATTTGGACTCTAACATGTCTGCTAATATGGTGTCAGAAACCGTCTAATGTTCTGAAGTTATTGTTAGGATAATTACGTGCTGAATGCACTCACTTGATCTTAACTTATATCAAGTCACATCATATTGTTTTACTGATGAATGTTCTGATTTTAGATGCTTAAGAAGTCGCCAAATCAAAGAGTTTCTTTAGATGAAGTTGATAGTTTTCAGTGGATTAAGCTACATGCAGAATTTTCCGTCAGTCAATGCAAAGCAGCCCTTTATGAGTGGGAAAACTCGAGTTGTCAAAATTCTACGTGTCCCTCGTCTAGTAGCTATGAAAGTTCATCTACGTTTACAAACACGTATTCAAATGATTAACAAACCCATATTTCACAATATTATCAATTATTATGTCTTTCAGCAGTATTTAAGCCACCTTAGCATTTTATCGAAAAGAAACGTTTGTTGTATTAACCGTGTTTTTACACTCAAATGCACTAGAACTTTATATATATATATATATATATATATATATATATATATATATATATATATAATTTTATTCTTAGTTGCTTTATTTTTCACGTCGTGCTTATCAAATCTACATGCTTGGTGAAAATAACTATACGCACGTATCAAACAGTTAGGTGTTCATGGGTATTCTGACTAGTGACTAGAACTTCGCGACAGACTTCGGCGTTTTAAACTATTGTCCACTTCATTGAGACGAACTTGAAAACAATTAATGGCTGATTGATCTGTCACTACTGGTATGTTCTAACGAATAACCACTACTACATTGAAGACAAGTTCATCTCGTTGGCCTTCACTATATGAATGCACTGGTTGACTTTTTATTTAGTTTTTTGGTATACGTGAGTAAACACGGAGAGCCCCTAATTATATATATATATATATATATATATATATATATATATATATATATATATATATATATATATATATATATTAGTTCAACGTGAATTTGATGCATTATACTCGACTCACTGAAATACATTATTTGAAGTGTAGACAAGGAGTGTTTGTCGGGATATTTCGGTGATAGCCTGACAAAATCCCGAGCGAAAATATATTCCAACTTATCATATTTCACAATAACACAAAAAATTATGAAAGACAAAAGCAAACATGCGGGTGAAATATGTCAACGTTCAAGAAACTAATGGACATTTACTGATGTGTCTAGGTTTCCTATTCTGTTTTACGTATTTACAAACATGATTGTTGCAAGTCTAATAGATTTTTTCGGGTATTCTAACGAAAATGATTGAAGTTCAAAAGATATTAGGAAAATTAGCATTCTAGTATTGAAGAAAGTAGTGTCAATACATGAACTTAATGAAAAGATGAAAAGTCTGAATTATATGGATTGTTAGATTCAACGAGACGCAAAATTACTTATTGATGGTTTGGAAATCAAAGCGACCGAGACAATCCGAAGTTAAGCTCTAACTTGTTAAACAAAAGTAATCAAACATGAAGTCTTGTCCATTATCCGTTACGTATACTTGTATCAGATTGCGTTACGAACGGTTTTTGTCTTAACTACCCAGCAAAGATGGAAGGTATCTTCTATGTACATCTCACCAACGAATTAATTTATTCTCACTTATATAAATAACTTGCTAACTTACTAATCATTAATAACCTCACCAGCTAACTTCTCACTTTCATTCCGGCAGTATACTTAATACAACAGTCGTTGTTATATTTTTAAACTGAGTCATTCAATCTCAATACGAGACAGTAGAAATAGTAAAAACCAAAGAACAACCTGCAACAGAGAGTGATGAAGTTGGTAAGAAGGATATTGCTTATACTTTCTGTGTTATTTGAAGTATGCCGGGGTGATTAATCCATAAATCATAAAAGTGATAGTTACTTGTTACTGGGGGGGGGGGACAGATTATATTATTGATCTTCAGCGAGGTCACCATCTGATGGCAGAAAGCAAGATATATTTATCTGCATTTTGTGATATATATGTATAATGGCATTTGTTGGGCTGAGTACGTGCATTAGAAAACTTTATCGCATTTAACAGTGTTTCGTCCAAAGTAGTGTAGTGGGCGTTGCTGATAACAACGGATATAAGTAGTATATATCGAGAGGGTGGCAGGAATCATAGGGAATTCCCGGCAATGGGTAAGGTTTCTGCCAAGAACAACGCAGAGGACAACACAGGCGTATTATAGGGGATACTGCTGATAAGAGTGTGTGAAGAGCCGCTCAAGAGCAAATCAAGACAGGAACGGAGAGGAAACGAAGACATTCGCAAATGGTTACGTTATTGCAAGGAGTACCATATGTAGCCACTACCATTCCAATTGTTCGTAATAAACATTTTCTCGTCGAGTTGTCTCCTGTTTCTTCAGTAGTAAGGTTATTCTCGATCTTGTATGTTCTGGTATTTTGAAGATGAGCGAGTATAATCACTCAAGGAGTCGGTCTCTGAGAGGAAACATCGTAAACATTACTTGATTAGTTAGCTTCATGGACCCTGTGATAACAGCGCTATTCCTCATCATGGTAATAAGTTGGGTGTTCCTGCTTTTCATGAATGGGTAAACTGGTATGGTAAAGAAATGGGGGAGCAAACTTCCCTATCGGCATTGTACGACATTTTTATTGAAATAGGTCAGCTTAAGCATTATGCCAGAGTAATGGCTACTGTAAGCTTTACTAGTGGCAAACACGTATGTAACGTAGTAGATACTTGTCAGTAAATATTATTCAAAGATGTAGCACTTACAAGTCAATCATTTGAACAGTATATGATAACACAAAGTAGATCAATAATATGTATCAAAGATTAATTTTTAGGTTAGGTAATAAATATTATGTTCATTCTTTTTTAAATGCAAAGCTTAAAGAAAGGTAATAAACAAAACCGGCATGAGAGGAAATATACTTCATTAAATTGCCTTACTAAATGTTAATTAGCTTTAATTCTTTTTGGGAAAATGTAGATTTAGTTAGTTTATTGAATTTTTAATTTGACAATGGAAATATAAAATTAAGTCATTTCAGATTTCGTATTCTTTTGAGATGAAGACGCTTTCGTGCACCTGTAGAATATTGAAAGCAAATCACAGTAATTAATTATCCAATACTTACGTCTGTTCAGTGAAATATATATATATATATATATATATATATATATATATATATATATATATATATATATATATATATATACTTATTATCACTGAATTGATTTCTTGTAAATTTGTCTCGCTTTTTTCACTCAGCCAATTAGGAAGCTGCGTAGAATGTGTATATCACACTGCATACTGAATACTAGAATGACCAACTGTTCTATTTAAGAAATAAACATTCTCTAGTGATAATCGCTACAAGAAGTGATGCAATTTTTAAAGCCTTCAGCTACTACTTACAGTCAGTTCGGTCTCTCTGTTGTTCTAGTACACTTGGTCACTGTTTTCACTTTCTTGAAATGATTTCTAGTTAGTTGTATTTTTCTATTTTGTAATTTAATAGTATAAGAAGGGGATTTCGCTTTTCACACTCCGACTCGTAGCGAATATTTGTGCAAACATTGACTCAAAGAGTAACCCACCTACTTGTTTTTGGTTGACTGTTGTGCAAAATCATCGGTGTCTAGGGAAAGCTATCACTGTGATTTAGACTCATTCTTTTCCCAATCAAACAACCACATTTTTTGATATCAGTCTTCCTGCATTGATCTTAATGGAGGGACAACATTATCATTCATTAAATATATTAGACGTGACTGAAAGCATGCTTTGTGTAGGACACTAAGTGCTAAACAACGTTTTTGAATACCGACGGATACATTTACTATAAAAGATTGGTAAAGTATATCTTGCTTAACGGTATATTGGTCATAATGTCAAGAAAATTGATGCCACTCTTTATACTGGAATCAACAGCCACATCTAGATTAATTCAGTTATTGGCTTTAGCCCATTCTTCCCTTCTTTGCATACCTTTTTACCACTTTAAAATACTTCTTTCCTTATTTCTCCATCTTCCATCCCTTTAACTCTTACCTTGACGTGCTTACATGAGTTTCGATAACTGTGTTACACAGTAATGCCGGGTCCTCTGTTAATGTTAACTGGTTGACTCAAACCTCGATACACTGAATAGAATTCTAATGCGTGATCCACTAGTTGAAAGTTAACATCTAGTTCTGTGCTAGACCTAGTATTCAACTGACGTTTTGTATACTAAATTTACTACTAACAGTCTTCGTGACATTTCGGATTTATCGCGTGATGGCTTGTATCCAAGTGCGGCGAGTTTGCGTTTACAACCCCTGAAATAGTCTAACTTTTCGAGGACACTTAGCGACAAAGAAAAGCCTTTCTACTAATAATGAATAAATTTTCCTAAATTTATTTGCAAGTAAGTGTTGTGGTGAGACTAGTTTGTCGTATCTTCATCAACCTAAAATTCGTATAAGTATGTTACATTTTGGTTTGAATTTTGAGGAAAAATTAGTGAGATGAGTTTAAACTGAATTGATTAGTGTTATTCAATAGATCCATTCATAATCAAAATATTCTCTTATGGTAGATAGATACAAGCAGCAAAACGATACAGAAAGCAAGAACAAATAAGCAAAACACATTGAAGGCAATGAATTAACTCAGAAGTGGGTGGTATGTAATATTGGACATGTATAAAACGAAAAATTGTATCACTCACTGAATTCACGGCGAATATTGAGTTGTTAAGAATTACAAAAATGGGACAACAACATATGCTGGAATAAAATGATTACTTGATAATATGTATGGATGGGATTGATGAAACATTACAATCTTCTGTTCACATTAATCATCATCTGCTTTATGCCAGCTTCTTTATAAATCCAGATAACTGCCGAGTATTCAAAGTTAGTATGAGGATGATATGAAGTCAAAAAATTTGGATTTCGATGAGCTATCTGTGGTACTGTTTTCCAACACAATACGGCTCTCATAGTCACAGTTAACCTGTCTACTATTGGTTTATTTTCTGACTTTCAAAAGATTTTGCTGGTTTCGAAGTCCTAGTCAGTTTCTTTATGCAATATAACCATCAATAAAATACAGGTCGAATATATCAATCTATTCGTTCACTAAAACCGTTGTCTGTGAACATTATCCAAGTCTAAGTTGTTAGTTTGTGTGTTAATTATCTCTACTTATTTCATCTTCAGTCATTTCAGTTGTAGGTTCATTCACAAGTTGCAATCAAACACAATACTAAACAAGTTGGGAAGTGTAAACAGTGAGATAGCAATTACCCATTATGGTCAAACTACTGATAGATATAGTTTGCTCTGCTGTATATCTATGCTATGGTCATTATAACTGAAGAAGAGTACAGAGTCAACCGAGAACCTAGCGTAATAGCGGCAATTTTCGGCCGCGATGTTGACTGCTATGGGTGTGAAACATTACAGAACCACTAGCTTCCTCGGCACTTCAGATATACCATTTTGACTATCAGAGATAACCGTGGTTTGGCAGATTAGTATCATCACCCAGTATCATTGCTAATCTTCCGAACCACGACTATCTCTGCTAGTCCAAATAATAATCAATACGATATTTCCCCTCCTTAATTTAGTTAGATTTTTCGTTGGGAGAAGTCCTGAATGGGCAGCCAGTGTAAGTACGATCAATCGGTGGTAACGCATCATGAATTCACATGATAGTCGAGCAGAACCCTTAGTGACTGAAGTGTAATAAAAATCTAGTCAGTAGTATGGTCTCCTAGCTCATTTGATAGAGCACCAGGCCGGAAATCCGGTGACCACTGGCTCGAATCCCGTCGCGGCCCGAGTTTTCATTTCATCTTCAATCATCACCCAGTATTAACGCTTCAGGTATACTCCGATGATAATTTACAAACAAAGTGAAATCTAAGCTGAGTAGGATTTTCCACCCACAGCCATCAGTCACTCGATAGAGATTCATTAGTATCGCAGTACTGGGATTAACAACCTATTTTCCACACCGCTTTTTAACAGGAAGCATCTAGTCATTCAGTAAGTTAGGAGTAGGGTATGTTGGGCTCCTTGATCACTTTCAAACCACTATTTGCAGTGTTAAAAGCGAATCAGCATGCACATCAAGGTAGCGGTAACTTTAGTCAATAGGTTTGCATTCATTTTAGAATGTAGAGACAAATAAAAGAATCACTCATACACTTCGAAATTTTACGTTATCGTATCAGTTTCATCAACTTTAAGAACTAGAAGAGTGAGTGAGGACTGTAAAGTTCCTAAACAAACTCCGTTTAGACTAGAGTTTTACTTGTATGCTATTCAGTGTGGTACATAGGTGAGGCTAAAAGTCATCCCCAGGTGCTGTTGTCCTTGTTGTAGGTTATGACGTTTTGTGTGTAAATACGCATATTTCCTGTATTCTTCATGCATATTCTACCTATTTATGTTTTTAAAAATGCCATCTGCCATTGAGTCCTGTTTCGTACCGTTCATTCACGTGCAAAGAATTGGCGTCACTTCCACAGTTATTCATGAAGAATGTTGCTCACAAATCAAGGCAAGTTAACTGAGGCTTTAAATTACAGCGAAAGGGATTTAAGATTACAGTTTTGACTTCAAAATATATGTATAGAGAAGATATAAAATACGCACAGAAAGCTATAATACCTAGGGGTGACATTTATTGGGATTCAGAGGTCACTACATAGTTGTATCAAACTAATTTGGTACACACAAGTCAGACTAAACCAACCGACTAAATGATTTGCAGCGAAACTGTCACTATTCAGCCATCAGGTTTAAATCTAATGGTCCGTATAAAGTGAATGCATTTAATTGTTGGCACAGTGGATTACCAATCCTTCTAATCAGCTAGCATGCCCCCTAACTACCTCATGAGTCTCCAATTGAACTCTATCTATTTCACGGTCAGTAAAAAAACATTAAATTGAAACCAATTTAAACGAAGTGAAAAGCAAAATAAGACAAGTGTTGATCAAGTGCACCATATATTTAAATCATAATACTACAATGTACGCGGTGTGTGAAGAAAAATTTCTATTTACATAAGCATGGATTTAGTAAGCAAAGAATAAGTATAAGTGATCTACTTAACTCTTTGTGCAACAAATTTGTGTAACTTATGCCAAATCCATATAATTAAACATCGAGAGTGTGAACAAAAAGCGTACAGGAACCGAAATACTTTACCTGTCGGTGACAGTCATCACATTTATCAAACATACTTTCAAACAGCACGTAAGATCAATCTCAGCATTATTGCTTTACCTCACTTTTCATTAGAAAAAGTGGTATTTTTAAAAGACAACTAAAAACCACAAAATGAAGGTAAAACAGATGTGACAGCACTTTTTTATTTGAAATAAAAAAAATGGTTTTTTTCTTCAAATCACTTGTGCACAAAAGGGAAACTCACTAAATGTCACCCTCGATCGACCTCTCTATCACCTATAGATATACAACATTATACACATGTATTCAGCATCTTTAGACCAAGGGTTATTACACGCAAAGTAGTATGGACTATTCATTCTCAATTCACAATAAAAGTTAAATCGTAAGTGATTACCAGATTACGAAGGAAAAATTCAGTACCACCCATAGTATGCATAAGTAGCATTCCTCTAAAGATAAATCGTTTAGATGTGACCAAAATGACAAAACACTACACAATACCCCTTGGTTCGACGCTCTGATGCCTTGGAAAAGACCGTCAGCAGGAGATATTAAAACAGACAAATCAATCTTAACCCTTGCGTAAAAGTCCATCAGTCTAAGTTGCCACACTTCACGAAAGCGAGAAGAAAGTGAACAGAACTGGAATGAAACATAAGTTAAAAGGAAACAAATAAAGGTACATAAAAATTCTAAAGATGCTAGAGACTAAACACATCTGCACTATCTTGATTAATTTTGAGGCATTTAACTGAGAACCGAACCAGATAGTCTACAACTTTTTATATGACGCATATAAACAGTCAGAAACTTCGTTGCCACTTCTTAATAACACTAAAATACAATCAAAAAGACAAGAATACTTAAATTGGAAGTCAGCAGGATTGAAATCGCATATCATTTTCACTACTTACAACTAGATGAAGAGTGATTGTATTTTCTCAAAGCTAATCGCTTTCCAGACATTTAATTTTACTTCAACCATTTATATCTAATGTGTTTAACCTGTGACAGTCTACGAGACCAGCATGGAACAAGAGTTGATAACTTTATTGACTGGTATTTTGTTTTTACTCACCATAAGAATAATTTTACGCTTATCGTACTACAAGCTTAATTGAATTTCAAGGTTTCAACATGTGTCTCAGTAATCTTGACTAACGAAGTTTCAGAAAGCTGTTAGATTTTCCACCTGTCATTCTAAACTAATCACACCAAACTTCAATCTTACTGAATGAATTGAAAATATTTCTGGTTAAAGAGGAGATATTGTAAACATCCAAGTCATAGTTGTTACGAATGTCCTTGAAGAAGCTGAGCGCTGAGTCAGGCTTATTCAGTACATTATTAAGTTTTATTATAATCTCAGCGTGTGTAGAAAACCAAAAGAAGATTTTTCCAAACGTTTCGCTGTACCACAGCTTCTTCAGCAGAATACTTGGATTTTTCTCCAACATCAAAATATATACTGTCGAATGGTACTTGTAGGAATTGTTGTCTTTACATTATTGGTCAGTTGATTTGTTGTTCAGTGAGATTATTGATAACTAATCATAGTAAATTAATGTAGCCTTTGCCAGTTGTCATCAAAAACAATTCAATAACCAAGATGTCTGTACATGTGTGTGTAAATGTTATGGAAAATGTATGTCTTTCGTTGTTTTTGACTATAATCAGGTAACGTGAATGAACGGATATCGAAGTTTAGTCTTACTCATTCGGTAGTTTTACAACAACCTACTGATACGTCACAAAAATCTTTATCAGATGCTTTAAATGTTCTATTTGGCATAGACTATTCCCAGAATTTGTTTGTGAGAGTTATGAATATTGCCCTTGGATTACGTTAACCGAATCTCTACTACAGAAACAATGTGAACACAGATTGAAATTCCAAAAAGCTGAGAGTTTTTTATATTCATGAGTGCAGACAACTCAGCAGAAACAGACAGACAAGAGAAACCCGTACTTGGCAACTTCCATAGTTAATTTATAATACTGTTTCGACAAAACCTAACCACAAATAGAGGAGTTTATATTTACTACTCATGTTTGATTATCATGATTTTCCCCGCTATGTTGATAGGGTCAGGTCCATCTGTGTTGATGTTTCCACCGAGATTTGTTGACTGGAACAGTTACGGGACTACAGTAAATACCATGACGGGCAATTAGAGTCCCACGATTCAAAAATCAGCTTATGCCACAACATTAAAACTATGTAAAGTTCAGCTGTAAACAAGAAGTTATACTTCTTGCTGTAACGGAAATAAGTAATCGTTCATGGATGAGCTAGTATGTCAAAAGTATGAGCATTTAAGAAAAGATGCTGGAAAATGCATACCCTTATTCCTGGTGGAATAGTTTTAGTGGTATTAATGTTTATAATGAAGAAATTTGATAGTAAGAAACAAATATTCTTCTAAAAAATTTGTGGAACCGTCTTCACATAGGTATCTCAGAGATTGAGGTAATCTTTTCTGGCTGAAAAAAATGTCATTGCTAATCCACTTTCAGTTTGAATTTTCGTTGGAAAAATGCAGTCCACTTTATAGTGTTTAGGAAGGTTGATTCGCCAATGAACCTCCAAGAACAACTGAATTATTCATCAAAGCACTGTTAGCTGGATGAAAGTAATCTTGAGGAAACCTTTCACCTAGGTTTCGTGTTTGTTGGCACTTGTCAGCAAGGCGTGTCTGCAACCTCGTCGGAACTGATAACGCATCTCAGGTCCGAACCCACGACACTAAGTGCCGCAGTTGATGTTATCACTGAGCTTTCGGCGTCAAGTACCTCCATCCAACTAACATATTTCAAAGTACACGACTATAGTGAGTCTCCTAGCTTGGTGGCCACAGTGCGAAGTGATCGATAGAATTAGGTCAGCACTAAGACACAGACAGTATGAAATTGGTTACTCTCCAGTGACCAATCGATATTTCATCAAAGCATACTTGCAGAGTACATATGTATTTTCTGATTCTTCTTCAGACGTAGGTTACTTGAAATATGAACAGAGTTGGAAAGAAAAATCCAATATAAGTTTTCCGTTGCTCACAATAAACAAAGGAATTGTTGCAGTTTAGTGAGACGAAAAAATAAATAATGAAATTAGTACTACAGGTAGAAACAAAGAAAAGTTATGTGAATGATTGAGAAGAAGGTATAAGATATCTATCAAGGGATGTACAAAAAAATTTATCTCTGAACAAAGTACACTACGAAAATTGATGAATACGAAATAAGGATACAAGAGACGCTAAAATGTCAAAAATAATTCAATTGTGTCACAATCAATGAGTTGGTAAAGTAGTAAGATGAAATAATAAATGAAGAAACTCAGTCTCAACCATTTTATCCTTCAACATTTCTTCGCTCAGTTACTTTAGGAATCACTGAATCAAACACCTACATCTCCGAGAAATCAACCTTGTAACAAAGGTAACTTCATTTGATTTTTTTTCTGTCTAATCAAACTTTACTGTCTGTTGTATTTGTTCTGATGAACAAATAATGTAAGATATTCAACTTCATAGGTAATATACTATTGCTTATATCGTAAACAGAGACATACTGAACTCTCAAAGTAAAGCAGTCTTTACAAAAGAGTCGAGAACACTATTGTCCAGTCACCTATTATTTTCTGACTAAATAAAAGACAAGGTTTCACATCTAACCACCTTTATATGTATATTTCACTTCCCATGCTCATGTGGATCTGAGGATGTCTATCCGATTTTTGTCGAACTTTTATTAGCACTGTATATGATTTTGAATTGTGACTAGATATTCTGTTTTTATTCCTGTCTTTCAAATGGAAAATTTGTTGCGAAACTATAACCTATTAGGTGTATTCATGAAGGTAATTATACAGCTTCCTAAATGAAACTATCGGAATTGTTTCTGGACAATAAATACTTTGATTCCATTAATCGTGGCAGTTCTGGTGGTATTAAGAGTTCAGAAAAACCATAACTTGAAAACAAGGAAACCACAAGGAAATCCATAACTGGAGATAAAATTATTAACCACTGCATCAAATGCTATACACACATTCAGGTTATTGGTAGTTTATGTGGAGCTACTGAATATAACAAATCAGATTGAATCTGAAAATGAGCTTCGTGTTGTTTATATGAAAACATATGAGTTATTCCTGAGGTAATAAACACATTGGATCAGCTAATCTCAGTGAATTAGTAACTAAAGAGGGTAAACTAGAAAGGAAGATATAGAGATGCTAACTTGGATATCATGTTCACTGTTAATACTAGCTATTTGCTGCAAGTTTTCTGTGATAAGCATTGATTTCTGAAGAGCACCAAGTTTGAGCGTAAAGACAGGCAGTGCTTCATCTCGTGGTCAGTAACTTCAATCTGATGTCTGATATTTATGATTCATTCGCGTGTGAATCTTTGAGTCTTCAACGACTTCATCGGAAGTGACACCTAGACTGCTCTGCTGATAAATAAATACTCATTTATTTTATGTAACCAAACCACTTTTATACACATCTGTGTCCAATGGTTGGGAACACTGATTCTAATTTGATGTTAGTTGGTAATCACTACTAAGATGCATCTGTGACCTTGAGGCATATGATGCTCCATCAAGGATCCTAACCTGAGTTACAGTGTTGTATCGGGAACCTATTTGTTGAGTCATTTATGTGACAAATGATCTCCTGTAAGTCTAGATTGTGTATGTTGATCGTTAGTTACTGTCGTGTTGAAACGCACTCATTATTCTGCGTATATATAGTTTTCTTATCCTCAAGTGCTTTCTTAAATATGTTAAGTAGCACTGTGCGTCACCATATTTTGTGTCATTTTGATGATTTTCATGATTTTCCATTCATGCACAGTTGTTCAAGATCGTAGCAGAAGCAACATGAAAGGAACTTCAGTACGGTTTGATAAAGGCTTTTCATCAATCACTGAACTTATTATTACCAGTCAGAGTTATCTAGAAGACTCTTAACCTCCTGGTTATTAAAGATGGACGGAATACTAAAAAATACATCACAGACAAATTGAAGTTACACTAATGAACAACAACCACTTTGGAATGAACCAATTAAAACTCGAACATGCAGTTTGTTTTGAAACCCTCCTTATTTTTCCATTTTCACATTTGATGAACATTGATTCCTCTATAAAGAGGTGTTGAAACTTAAACTGTTGTAATATCTTATCGTGTGTCATGCTACACATGGTTCAAGCAGTTTCCCAATGTCTCCTTTTGGCAGCTTCCATAATGACCGTTATTTTTCG